GGTAACCCAAATAGCCCTATTTCAATTTCTCCTTGAGTATACGTTAGTACTTTGTGTCTTTCAAGGAATCTGTCCACTTCATAAATGTCAAATACTCGTGTATTGGAATAATATTGATAGGTGGCCAGAATAGCTACTACTCTAGAGGTAATTTTGCTCCTAGTATAGATCATTAAAGGAATTTAATAATCTATTAAATACTCTATTTGAAGCCCCATGAATTATGAGGTTATCCAGTCCGGCTAGTGGAACAGGAATGGCTGCGTCCCTACATACATTCTGAGGATTGTTCCCTCTAATCTTTTCAGGCAGTTCTTTTCTCAGTCTTCATTGGTTTCCTCACAAATAAGCAATGATCAGTACTCAGCTGAAGACTTGGGTGGGACTCTGCACATCTCCCATGCTTTCTCTTTAAGCAGCTCTTTCTTCTCTGGTACTCCTGGCTTGCCAGCATTAGCTGACTTAGCCTCCCTGAACCTCCATCCAGCTCCATCTCCTCAATTCAGAGAAACCGCCAGGCTTTACTTGGGTTACCTCACTAGTGTGGTGGCCTGGAAATTCTCTCTGGTCAGTTAGGTGGGACAGTCATAGGGTTTACCTCACCTATTTCTTGTCTAACAGGCATCACTATCATTGCCTATGAAGAAAGAGTCTTGGTGGACAAGTTTTTTTTTTTTTAACTAAGGCTATTAGAAAAGTTTTAAATCATCATTACTAGTATACAAGCCTCTGAGAAAGGGAAGATGATATCAGGTAGAAAATAAGGACCGAGTGTGTTTTGTTTTAGCTAAAATTTATACTAAACACGTTATATTTGATTGGGAGGGGGGCGGTGAGCAGAGAAAGACAAAACAATCCTCTATATATTTCCTAAGAAATATATTTTACACTTTATTGCATTTTAGAACTAAAATGTCCTTTTTTTCCTGAAGAACTGAAAATAGTTTACTATCACCATAGAATTCAAGGAGAACAATGGGTGATGAGATTAGAGATAAAACTTATATTACTCTACTTGCTTTTCACCATCAAATACAGTACCAATTTTATTTTCCTTATTATATTTAATCACTCAACTGATATTTCCAGTCTACTAACATTCTTAAAAATCTGATTTTGATATTCAACTTATTTGATATTTATTAAGGTGTTGCATTATTTGCATTTACGTTATATGCAAATATAGCTTTATCTGAATCACTGGTAGTTTACTTGAGCAAAGCTCAGGGTAAACATTGAGGCTTACACTATAAATGTATTTATTTATCAGCAGACCTTTTGGGACTGATTCAATAAAACATGAAATATGTCTAACTGCTTTGTAGCCAGTCTTTCTTATTCTACAATCTATATACTGACAGATCTTCTCAAATATACTAGCATCCACTGTTTATTGGTCTGCCATAATAGATACTACATGAATATCTGTTGAAATGAATTCAAATGAGCAGTAATTAAACCAAAAAAGAAAAAGGTTTTCCTAACATGACTTGTAGCCATGTAGCAGGCTGTGGTTTTACCACTTCCTCTTCTGGGTGGGGAAAAAGAATTCCTTTAATAATCTATCCTAAGATCTAATCAAACTTTATGTTTACTGATTTGTAGAATCAATCTTTAAAAAAAAAATTGTGGTAAACTATACATAAGATAAAATTTACCACTTGAACCATTTAAAATATTCAATTCAGTGACATTAAGTACATTCACAATGTTGTGTAACCACTATCCACTTCTAGAACTTTTTCATCATCCCAAACAGAAGTTCTCTACCCATTAAATAATAACACCCCACATCCCTCCACCTCCATCCTTGGCCCCTGGTAACCACTATTCCACTGTCTGTCTCTATGATTTTGCCTATTCTAGGTACTCATGTAAGTGAAATTCTTATAGGGAAATCCAATATTTGTCTGATGTATGTGGCTTATTTTACTTAACATAATGTTTTCAAGACTCATGTTGTAGCACATATCAGAATTTCATTTTTTAAGGCTGAGTAATATTCCATTGTATGTTAATATGACACTTTGTTCATTCATCTGTTTTTTTTTTTTTCTTTTTTTCTTTTTTTTTTTTTTTACTGACCGGTAATGGGATCGCAACCCTCGGTGTTGCGCCCGCACCACGCTCAACCAGTGAGCGGGAACCGGTCTCCACATGGGATCTGAACCCTCGGCGGGAGCGCCGCCGTGCTCCCAAGCGGCGCACTCTCCAGTGCGCCACCGGGCCGGCCCTATTCATCTGTTGATGAACATTTATTTGGCTTCTTTCCACCTTTGTTATTGTGAATAATGCTGCAATGAATATTGGTATACAAGTACTTGAGTTCCCACTTGCAGTTTTTTTGGGTATAAACCTAGAAGTGAAATTGGTGGATAATATGGTAATAATTCTATGTTTAACTTCTTGAGGAACCAGCAAATTGTCTTCCAGAGCAGCTGCATCATTTCACATTCCCACCAGAAATACACAAGGGTTCCAATTTTTCCACATCCTCACAAACTCTTGTTATTTTCCATTTTTTTGATAATAGTAATTCTAATGGGTGTGGAGTGGTATCTAACTTTGGCTTTGATTTGCATTTGTCTAATGATGAGCAATGTTGAGAATCTTTTCATGTGTTTATTGGCCATTTGAATATCTTCTTTGGAGAAATGTTTGTTTACGTCCTTTGATCATTTTTGAATAGGATTGTTGGTTTTCTTGTTATACATTGAGATATAATATTATATATTAATATAAGAGTTATATATTCTGGATATTAAACCCTTACTGAACATATGATTTGCAAATATTATCTCCCATCCTGTGGGTTGTCTTTTTCTTTGGTGGCTGGCCAATACGTCACATTCTTGATAGATGTGACTTTTCACATTCTTTGATGTACAGAAGTTTTTAATTTGATGAAGTTCAATTTATCTATTTTTTCGTTTGTTGCTTGTGCTTTGGAGTTTTTGTTTGTTTTTAAAGTGAAGACCATTTTTCCTCATTTGATCATTACATATTGTATACAAATATTGATAGTCAACTCGATACCTCACAAATATGTATAATCAATTGTTTCAATTAAAAATAAATAAATAAATAAACTGAAGACCATTTTGATGTCATCAACATTTCCTGCAAACCTAAATCATTCTTGGGCCTATTCTTTTCTTTTTTCCTAAATGTCTGCCAAACCTTAGCATTGTTCACTTTCCATCTTTTTAAAAGTGGTTTGGTTTTTTTGCAGCTGGCTGGTACATTTCCAACTTTTTTCATATGTCTTTTGCAAATATGAACTCTTATTAAAGAGTTTTCTGTAATTTTTTAAAAGGCTCCTCCCAATTCTCTTCCAAATTAAGGTAATTTGTGACTATAAAGTCTGAATTGCATTTCTGGTGATATTCAATCCTCTTAAGCTGTCTGTACTTCAAATGTCTCATTTTTTGAAATCATATTTACCTTTTTAAAAAATTTTAAAGTTGTCGTCTTAGGGCCGGCCCAGTGGCGCACTGCTACAGTGCGCCGCTTGCGAGTGTGGCGGCGCTCCCGCCGAGGGTTCAGATCCCACATACAGACCGGCCGCTCACTGGCTGAGCGAGGTGCGGGCGCAACACCGAGGGTTGCGATCCCGTTGCCGGTCCCGGTCCGGTATGGGCGCGACACTGAGGGTTGCGATCCGTTGCCGGTCACGAAAAAAGACAAAAAGGAAAAAAAAAAAAAGTTGTCGTCTTAAAGTCAAGAGCACGTATTTAAATGCTGCCAGTCTGATCTTCCCTGACCAGAAAGAATTCTAAGAGCAAGTGTCAATTTCTCCCAATGATTCTCAGACTGCTATAAAGATGACCAGTTCTTTCATGTTATTCAAAGGGCGAGAGTAGCACTCTTCCTAGTTACTTCCTTTATCCTTTTGAAAATAAAACTGTTAATAAGGAAAATCTAAAAGGTAAATATTAGTCAAATGAGACTTCCAGCAGCTATCGAGCAGTTCAAGGCATTTACCATTACTTCTTGCCATTATGTCACTTTGTGTGAATTGTCAAGAACATGGCATTTCTTTCCAGTGGTTATCACCTTTGTTACTCATACCATGATAATACTTCTGTAAATCAGTCCTTTAATCTTCACCCAGGTGATCTCATAAATTACTTTCAGGTAAATTTTAGTATTATTCTAGGCAGACAGCACAGTTACCTTATTTGGATATAAAACAAATGTAGAACCATACAGTTACAATTAGAATGGACATCCGAGATGATTAATATAACACCTTCATTTTATACATAAAACCCCCAAGATTCACTAAAGTTCAGTAATACCGCCAAAGTCACGTGAAGATACACTGAAGACTTTTCTTTTTTTTCCTATTTCATGGATTTTTTGAGCCTACAGGTTAAATATAAGCTATAAATACCAAATAAACAAACAAAAAAATTTTCCATAATTTAGAATAAAAGAAAATACAGTTTTGGTTAAAAAAATTTTTTTAAGCTGTAATAGATAAAATGAAATTCCACTTCAATATCTTCAACTATAACATACAAATATTAGCAAAAACGATACTATAAATAAAGGTTTTTAATACAAATTACAACATATCGACATTTACTCACAATTTATTAAACTAAAACTAAATACACTCAGACTTTAAAGAGATTAAAAGAAGTGATCAAAGTCTTTTTTATCTTGATTGTGGTCATAATGACAGATCAAGTATGTGTTGCAAAAACTCATAGACATACACCCTAAGAAGAGTACATTTTACTACATGTACAGTAAATCTCAATAACCTAACCTTTTAAAAAACAAATGTTTTATTAAGTAAGAAGTTAGTATATACTGAAGGAAATATTGAAGATACTGAGTTAGAGCAGTTCACATTGAGGAAATTTTGTTGAGCAATTCTCAAGGATATTTATGCCAAAATTCAGGTTTTTATTCATATATTTCTAAACAGATACAAAGATCAAAACCAAAAAAAACACAAACATGTACTTTTTTAAAAAAAGAAAACTTACCGTCTCATTTCCAAAAAGTACGTCAACATAAGGCATAACTTTCATCAATGGTTCCTTGTAGAACTGGCTAATAAATGGTGCAGATAGATTTAAACTGAAAATTCTATTGTTTTCAGAAGCATAGTGAGCCACTTTTAATACTGACTCTGGGGAAACTGTAAGAAAAAAGCCCTGGATAAAGAAAAAAGAAGGAAAAATTAGATGCCATCTTCACATAGTCACTCTCAGTGAGAATAAAAGAAACCTATACAAAATACAAAAGTCTTTATAAGACACAATTACAAAACGCAAAACTGAAGATAGCTGAATTTGACTAGGAGAAAAACTTATCATATGAGTACTAAATGCTTGATACATGCCATTACTTTATATAATAAAATATCACTTATTTCATATTAGATTTATGTGCACAATACTGAAAGAATTCTGGGAATCTACAAAAGAAAAATTACTTGAAAGTTCTCATTCAAGACAATAATTACAATTAAATTAGAGAAATAGTAATAAAGACAGATTGGATCCTTAGAGCTCCTCATAAACAGTTTGGATTCTTACAAGTGACTTAAAAATAATCTGTTTACTAAGATCATAGATTGTTACCCAAAGAGACATCTTAGGTAAACTGAATTTTTTGAGTAAGATTCTGAATTAAAATTTTCAAACAACAAGAAAATAATTCAGTAAAGAAAATAGAAAAATATTTTAATTAAAATTTCATGTTAGGAAAGTTATATTTTAAAATGCTATTTATCTATATCTTTAGTATCATTAAAAGTCTTATTAAAAATATATTTATGCCTTTTAGATGAAAGTATAAGCAGACATGAATGTGCATATAGGAAACTGGCCTGGACAATGTACATGTGAGTAAAGGACTACACAAAGGGCAATAACAGAAGTTGAACTTAGAAAGGCCAGGTGAGTTAAGAACATGAAGGGCCTTGAGTGGCAGGTTAGGAGTCTATTTGGTAGGCTTGGGAGAGTCACCAAGGTCATGGGTTCGGATCCCCATACTGGCCAACCTCTGCCAAAAGAAAAAAGAAGAAGAAGAAGGAATGGTGAGAAAGTAAGGGTAGAAATTAAAAATTATTTTGGGAGCTTTATCAGTTGATGTAAATCATCTGTAATTTACTAAACAATTTTTGTGTGCCAGTCACCATATAAAAATCTTTATAAGCATTAACTCACTTATTATTGTTTTTTCTTTACATCAAACCTATGAGTTGGATACTATTGTTAGTCTCATTTCATAAATAAAGAAAGCAAGATAGAGAAGTTAAAAATGTCTCCCACATCACACAGCTTACATGTGACGGAGCCTGGATTCAAATGACGTCAGATACCGTGCCCCTAGTTTGAGTAGATAATAGAGAAGAAAGGGCAGAAAGCCATTTGTGTGTGTGTGTGTGTGTGTGTGTGTGGAGGAGGGGAGAATGAGAAGGTTAGTTTTAAGGACAGGAAAAATTTGAGCATTTTTGCTTTTCAAAGAAAAAGATCTAGTGGAGAAACAGAAGAATGAAGAAGCAAGGTAAATAATTATAACAAAGAACCAGAGGAAGAGGGGACATTAGCAACCAGAAGGAGAGAAGAGCTAGCATATAAATGGAGAAAATCTAACTTTGAAAACATAAAATAAACTTCTGTAAAAAGTTACAAAAATATTATTAAAATATTCACTTACAACTGAGGTACTAACCACTTCTATCATGTAAACTTTAAAAAGTTTTTTAAAAAAGTTTTTTCTATTATTTTCAAATTTCAAATTGAATATTATAAGAATAGTAAAAAGAATTAATTTTGTGGCAGGGGTCGTATGTATCGGGATCCCTCTTTGAACGTGGGTTTACAGCCCTTGTACATTCTGAGATATTAGGAAAGAATTTTATACTATAATGGTGACGGGACTCAAAATATGGCACCCTGGCACTTGAGAAAACCACAGAAGCAAGAAGGTCACTCTGACCTTCTCCTGCCTTTCTGTGTGACAGCTGGCCAAAAAGGAATTCTCTGACCTACTTCACCTGAAAGTAAGTCATAAGACCTTTGTTCGAGAGGCTTCCTGCTGTATACCCAGAGGCCAAGAAGAGTCTGAACAGACAGGACTTACTGGCTTCCACCCCTGGCAAGCACCCCCTCCCCCAAGTTTACTACCATTAGAACATACCCTTTTTATTCAATCATGTTTCTCCACAACTATGCACTTCTTTTATCACACTCCACCACAAAAACACACAGTTTTCAATGGGTCATTTTGGAAGGCTCCCATGTCATGTAAAACTTTGTTAAATAAATTTGTTATGCTTTTTTCTTGTTAATCTGCCTTTTGTTATAGGGGTGTCAGCCACAACCCTTGCAGTGGGTGAGAAAAAGGTATTACTTTTTGTCCCCTACAATTCTCTCATATCATTTTAAAGTATTGTTAATGAAATTCTAATAAAAATGATGTTCTCCTATAATAATACAATATTTTCTCATCATTCAAAGTTCCAGTCCACTGATTCTTTACCAATATTCAACTGTTCTAAAAGGTAACACGTCTTAGTCTTAGGTATCATTATTTTTTAAATGTTTTCATCTTTCTTTTTAAACCAAATACCATGTCACTTGCACACCATGAGTATCCAAGCTGCTTCCTTTGCTATTTCTGTCACTGGGAGAATTAAAATGAACAGTTTATATAGCATCTTGTCTCCATAGAAATATGTATGTACTTGCTTTTTAGTCTTTCATTTAACAAAGAGTTTAAAGCTTTCCCCCTATTTCTCCCCAAACTGTTCCAGCATGAAATAAAAACCTCCCAGAGCTAGCATTCTGCCAGCTGTGGATTAACCACAGACAGCCATAGAATGGTCTACATAAATAGTAACCTGGTCAAATAATTAGGCTTCTCACCAACTTCAGACTGAAAATTTGATCTGTGCTAAAATACATCTGATTGTAATTTAAGGTACAGAACAATATGCCCCTGGAGTCTAAATTTGGCCTCATTCCAAATGTGTGTATATTGTATGTGTGTTTTACTTTAAAATGCAACACAAGAGTATTGCAATATGGATAGTATAACTTCAATTTTGTTAATTTTATAATGAATATAAAAAAAATCAGCTCTTAATAAGAAGCAAATTCGTGATTTAAACTAATTCTATTTTTGAATGGTCTCTTGTTTTCTTTAAGTAAATATTTAATATTTAAACAGTTTGGGATTTGTGTTCTGTTAGACTGCAAAGGCTATTAAAATTGATGCCAACCATAATTTTTCTTCCTAGATTTATAACCTTTGCTAGGCCATATGTTCCAGAGTATAGTATCACCAAAAATAAAAACAGTGCCATTACAAAAAAAAATTTTTTTTCATATGTCAAGTTTGCAATAAAAACAGGCGAACAGTTTATATATCTATAGTTTAGAAAAATACTTTTTTTTTTTTTTAAGTCTGTCCCTATAAGCAACCAAAAGCAAAGTAGGATCTAACACTTTGGGGTTGGATAATGTTAATCATAATTGAGAGTAAAGTGGGACATTTTTATTCATTACAATGCAAAATGAAACAAAGTAAAGAGGCAGAGGTGAGAAGGATAGGGAAAGACTAAGTAAAACCAAAGAACCATTTTAGCAGAGCCAGACTTAATGCTTGGAAATCTCAAAAACTTAGATCTGTTATACAAACACTCAAAGGATTTCTCAGGGTGGTTTAAACGTAGGAGAATGTTAGAAACAAAATTGTTTAATATACTAAAAGGAAAGAAAAGGAAATACTCTTTACTTGTGTTTACCTTAATTCATGGTAATAATTTGGGGTTCTTTTTGTCTTTTCCTAAGAGCACAATCTCTTTTTATTATTTCCATTAACAATTATCTGAAGAATAAAACTATATGTGTGAGTGTGTGTGTGTGTGTGTGTGTGTGTGTGTGTGTGCATACACATCTATGTAAATTTTAGGCATGTATAACTCTTGGAAGTAAAAGTCTATATAGATTCAAAAGGAAATAAAGTTATGTAGAGTAATCATGACTAATAATTATCAGTTGCAGATATGCAGTGACATAGGGGACAAAAGGCCTTTTCTTTTGTTTAGAAAATAACCTGATCACAATATAACAGGGCAGAAATATATTAAATTATTTTGAAATATTCAGACTAGTGGATTTTAACCTATTTGGATCCATCTACTCCCCATCTAAATGCAGATTTGCATAATACTTTGCATGCACTGGTGCTAGGGTGGCTCAGCAATCCCCCAAAGCCCATCTACATAAGCACTGGTTTTGACGGAAGTTTAAGAACTTGCAATTTAGTTTCTTTTCTCACAATTATATAACTATATAAATTTCAGTTTGATTACAGTTAAGTTCTTTTTTAAAAAATGCAAGGAAAATCTATAATAAAAGAGAAGTAAATATCAAACTTCTGGAGTGTAAATGATGTCCAAGCCTAGAAAGAAAAGATTATCTAGAGATTTGCTACAGAAAAATTAAAGATTTCAGTTGGTTCTCTTCCAATCAACCAGGAAGAATGTGACAATATCTTTAGTCCATGAAGAATTTTTAAAAATTAAACAAATAAACATTAGAAGACCAATAGATAAGTGAGCCGAGAACAGGAAAAACCATTCTGTTGAAAATGAAGAAATACAGACAGATATTCCTCTCTAGTAACTAAAGAAACAATATATTAATACTCAATGATGAAGAAAGGTTGGTGAAATGAATATATTAGTTGATGGGAGTGCAACTGACAGTCTTTAAGGAAATAATTTGAAAACACACATGAGGAAACATAAACAAATACATACTTTTTTTTTTTTTTGCGGCTGGC